CCAACCAATCCTCCAGCACCAGGAGAAAGCATCACCTGAGTCCCTCCACAGCCCCGCCACCAGCCTGACAACACCACGCTTTAATGTATTCAGCCCACAGCCTCCTCAGGCCACGGCTTTCTGTAATTTATCCCTATACCACCCGCCACCTTGTACTATTTAAATTGCCGGGGGACGCAACACCTCCGAGATAGTTTTCAGCAGAAGCTGCCAACTGCCCTGCCCACAAAACCATCATTTCTTCATTTGAAACGGGGTTCCCAGCAGATGCTCCCCAAGGGCAACATGTCAAGAGGAGGGATTTCATGGAAAACCCCTGATGTCTATGCCTCTGGAGCATGCTGGGGAGGTGACAGTCTGCAAAGCAGCACACAGCACCTACAGCCCTCCAGCACACCCAAAAAGCAGGAGTGCTCACACAGTCCAGGCTCTGGTGGAGGGCACAGCCTTGGCACCTGGTACCTGCTGGCAGCATTGGGGTGCCACATATGACCCCAGGCTGGCAGTCCAGGGGTCAAGCGCTGTACAGACAGCTTCACCCACCACAGGGAACACCTGCCAGTCCAACCAGACCAGGATCATCTCTGGCTGGATGTTTGGGGAAAGCAAGGGACACAGATTGAGGTTGGTTTATTAGATTATGGACAGCCCCATGCAAATAGGGCCATATTGATCCGGTCTGCAAACACCTGGCTGGGAATACAAGCAGCCCCTGAGTATACAGAAGCTGCTGGAGATTATTAACCAGATCCATTGCTGTAAATCACATTACCTCCTTGCAAACCCCAACCCAGCACCACGTCCCCCTGTGCTAGGCACGGTACAGCACACATCCTTGCAGCACAAAGGAGCATCACTTCGCCCCACCCAGCAGCCAAAAGCCCACAGATTCAGCCCAAAAGTGTGGAGCCTGGCAGGGGCATCCTGATCTGGGATCTGTGGAGCCAGAGCTGCACAGCCCACCTCCTCCCACAACTCCTCCCAAAACAAAGCAAAGCACATGTTAATAGGAGAGTGAAATTCAGTGTCCAGGAAAACTGCCATGGAAATGCAAGGCAGGGATTTAAAAAAAAAAATTTAATTCGCATTTTCAGATACCCCCTCTCCCTGGTATTTTGCACCAGCTGCAAACTACCCCTCTAGAACAGAGAGCAAATAGGACAGGCTCTCCTGCCTCCCAAAGCACCTCAACTCCAAGAGCAGGAAGGAAAAAAAAAAAAGTAAAATACTTCACCGCAGATTTCCAGATGATCACAAAGGGATATCACCTTTGCAGAGCTTTATTAGCAGAGAAGGAAGCAGCTCCCAGATTAAAGGGAGAACTGGGGAATGAGGTGCTGAACCAAAGGCAGAGGAGGAATCCCGTATTCTCCCTTCTTGCCAAAATCCCTAGCTCTGATTCAGCAGATACACTAGGCTATGCTGCTGGTGGTGTATCTCACTGCAAATGAAACCATTTATGTTTAAACCACCACCCTACTCCCCTAAAGAATTGCTGCATGCAGTAATTTCCTTGTGATGGGGGGGGGGAGGAAAAGCCATGATGAAATTGTCTCAGTTTCTCTGCATTTTGTTTACAGCCGCTGCCCTCAAACCCATGGCCAACACACAAGCCTGATAACAGAAATAAATCTAGCATTTGAGATCGTTTAGAAAAGCTCTGCTTGCAGACAGTCAGCGCTCCAAGTGGGAAATCCCTTTGCAAGTCTCAAATCAGGGAATTTGAACCATTTTTTCCCCTGGAGAAATTTAGGCCTGAAAGATCTTCCGAGTTTCTCGTTTGGAACTACAAGGCCCAATAACAAGATCTCTTTCCCTGAACTCACCCATAACACTTCACTGCCAAGACCATGCACAGGTGAAGGGAGATGGACTGGAGAGAGACCCATGGCTACGGGGAAGGCACCTAATTTCATGTAAGAGGATGCTCTGGTTAGCTGCTATTTATGCATGCATCTAGTTAATATAGATATTTTTCTGGCATGCATTAATCAAACACAAAGATTCCTCCTCCTCTACGCCTTGTCCAGTGCTGTCAGCATGCAGCATCCAAAGAGCAGGCTGCCAGCACAGCACCTTCCTGGCACCCTCCATCCCTGGATACACACACCCAGTGGCCACCACTACCTAAAACCTGGGGGAACGAGTGCAAGCAAAGGCTGGAAACTTGGGAACATGGGATCAAAGGCAGTAGGACAAGTTCATCCATCCCCCAGGAGCAAACAGATGGGACAGGAAGCAATAAGACCCAGCAAATCCTTCAAGAGCATCCTTCCAGTCTGCAATCACAGCAAAGTTTACAACATCAGGCACCCACAAAAAACAACCCCTGAAACAAAACCAAACAGGTTTGCTCCTGTACTCCCCAAATTGTGGAGTCCCTCAGAGCAGTAATGCTGTGCCAGGATCTGGGCCTGATTTCTCCGCTTTGCAGGCAGGGCCAAGAGGAAGGAGGTGGGAGGAAGAGCCTGCTGGCAGCCCCCTGCTTCCCACCTCCTCCTCCCCGGAGAATTGCAGGAGGCCAATTTTGATTAAACTAATTAAGCCTGCTCCATTCAAAGAGCTCCAACCACATGCTACCATGGGAGAGGAAGAAAATATAAAATCAAAAAGGAAAAAGAATTTTCCAAGCAAGCATGCTCCTACAAAGTTACCCATACAGATCCCTGATGGACAACACCACGCTGGAAGAGAAAAGCCCAGAAAAAGGACTCGCTGCAGCAACACAGGCCCTGAAGACCCTGCTTCTATCAGGCACCAGGACCTACTGGGACACATTCCCCTTCCCACCAGTGTTCCTATCCCCTCCCAGCCAGTCGTCAGAGGTGGCCACTCTTCTTGAGGTAATGCCACCCTCCACCAAGCCTGGGTCTCCCAGACGCTGCTTTCCCTCCCAAACCATCCCTATCTTTCAGCCCCTTGCATGCTCTCTTCCCTCCTTTCCTTTGAAGACATCAGGTTTCTGGAAACAATTTAGTCGTGAGCTGCAAAAAGGCTTCCTTGGGCAGTGCCAGCTGGCTGGAAGCCCTGCTTTCCCAAAATGTTTCCCATCTCCCCAGGGCAGCCACACCAGGGACCCTGCAGACCCTGTCCCTACAGGGAGCCTGCTCATCTGCAAGAGAGAAGCATCACTTTTGCATTTAAAGCCTTTGAACCAGAGGGGGGAAAAAAAATTAAAAAGTAGTAATTATCAAAGCAAAGGCTTCCTCCCCTTCAATGGGCAGGAGGGATAGCAGCCCGATGAGGGCTGGACCTGCTGAGAGCAGAGCAGGGACACAGATCCTCTGAGGCTGGAGCAAGAACACTTTCATTATTTCATTGCAGAAGCAGAATGAGGCCTTAGGTGCAAGAATTACATTGAAATTCAAATCGGGGTGTTTAACTCTCCCGTGTTCCTTGGGAAGCCTCGGTGGAAATGCAGGATAAGGAGGGCAGGGTTTGAAATCCTAGAGAAGTAAAGGCAAGGGGGAAGGAAAGCAAGCTGCCCCATCCTGCTGTGCAAAAAACTTCATCCGATGGGCCTTGGGCTTGCCAGCCTACCCCAGAACCACCAGCACTACAGACACTACAGCTGCCCCTCTTCTCCCTGGACTGCTCTTGGTGCGGCTTTAGTCGGGAGGGGAGGGAGGAAGAGAACGGAGTGAGGGAGAAAGAAAGAAAGAAACCCCATATCGTAATTGCTATATTAAAGAGAAATAGCAGGCAAGAATAATAAGAGAGGTGTCAGAAGTGAAATACAGTAACAGACATTAAAAAAAGACTACAGTTCTGCGATGGGGGTGTTAATTGAACACAGAGCTGGAGAGAACAAAGGGGTGTTAAGGAAGAAAAGGGGAAAAAAATCCTACCTCCTCCAAAGATCTGATTTGAGTTAAGTTTGGTGAAGATAATGCACAGGGAAAGGTAGTTAAGAGGCGCCTTATATAGCTATTATGTTCTAAATTAAAAAAAAAAAAAACAAAAACAAACAAACCCATTATTCAACAACAATTGCACGGCTAATCAGTGCTATCTATAAATATTCC